AACGGCAAAAGTTCAGCACGTTGATATTTCCAGCTACCATCTTTCCAAGAAAGTCACAGCTGAGTACCTGATCCACTCGCCCCATTTTAGAAGTGAAGGCTAGAGGGAGACCCACTTGCCGTCTTCGGTTATTTGATGAGCTGTCATATAGAACATAGAACAGACTCGACCTAGGGCTGGACTAGAACCAGTGGATGGAAATCACAAGGAAGGGCATTTTGGTTAAATATTGAGAAACGTCTTAATGGTAAGAGCTGTTCAACAGTGGAACAGACTGCCTCAGGAGCTGGTAAACTCTCCTTAATTTAAACAGAGGGCAGATGGCCATCAGTCAAGGATACTGAAGCTGCATATTCCTGCACTGAGGCAGTGGTTGGACTAGATGACCTTCAACGTCCTTTCCAACACTCCATGACTATTTGCACAACAACCCTGTGATGCAGGTTAGGCCCAAGGTCATCCAGTAAGCTTGCATGGCAGGGTGGGGATTTGAACCTGGGTCTCCCTGGTTGGTCCAGCACTCTAGTCCCACCCCTCAGAAGACAGACTGCTTGAAAACTGCTATTAGCTTTCTCTGTTGAATTAGAGTAAACGAGGCTCACCATTAAATGCAATCTTCAGAATAACTGGTCAGCATTTCAACATTTCACCAGCATAATTGTCTAAAATACCCCCAACCAGCAAGTTAGCATAAAGTCAGTATGAACAGGATCATAGCCAGAAGTAGTGCAACCCAGGAGCATGAAGACAGCCTCAGGAAAACTCCCCAGGGCTATTGCATAAACAAAGAGTAACCCTAGGATACACCTGAGATCACAATGGTACCAAGAGATAGTGCATGTACTAGGGCCCACCTACCAGCCCTTGAATAAACAGGTAATATTAAGACGAAGAAGAAGAGACTAGATTTATACCCCACCCTTCATCACCCGAAGGAGTCTCAGAGCGGCTTATAATCCCTTTCCCTTCCCCTCCCCACAACAGACACCCTGTGAGGTAGGTGAGGCTGAGAGAGCTCTGAGAGACACTGCTCTTGAGAGAACGTATGACTGACCCAAGGTCACACCAGCAGCTGCATGTGGAGGAGAGCTTGGCTCTCCCAGATTAGAGTCTGTGCCCTTAACCACTACACCAAACTGCCATAAAACCAACATTTACAGCTCTGACTACCTGAAATAAGAAAAAAGATGTTGGAGAAGGACGCACTTTGTTCAACTCAAGTGGAAGAGTCTGCGTCAAGTTCGAGTTTTGGACTAAAATCTGGGAGAACCAAGTTCAAATCCCCACTCTGCTGTGGAAGCTTGCTGGGTGACCTTGGGCCAGTCATGCCCTCTCAGCTTGACCTACCTCACAGGGGTGTTGTTATGAAGGTAAAGTAGAGAAGGGAACAATGGTACTGTAAGCCACTATGGGTCCTCCATTGTGGAAAAAAGCAAGAAACCCATAAACAAATGCATAGACCCTGGCAGGAAAAATTGGTTTCTTCCTTCCTGAACTTTCATTAGTTCCATACTCTCAGTCCCTGTTGCTGCTTCACACCTTTTCGAAGTCTCAAAAATCATAAAAGCTGACAGCTCAGCTTTAAAAAAACAAAAACAATTTGGCATAGAGATTGTCTTACATTTTAATCTCTGGGTAGTATACAAACAGGACAGTATTGGTGGCAGATTCATTAACCCGATAAATTTCTATGTATCTCACAAATACCAACATGCATAACTTCCCCTCATAAGGAATCCCTCAAAGACACCAACACAGGCTGCGGTCACATGGAACATTATTTTTTCTACAAAAAAAGCCCTGCTAGGAACTATGGAAAGGGGAACTGAGAATAAAATGGTGGCAGAGAGCGCCATCAGGTCAAAGCCAACCTATGCCAAACCCCGTGGGGTTTTAAAGCAAGACACAAACAGAGGTAGTTTGCCATTGGCTGTCTCTGCGTAGCGACCCTGGTCGTCTTTGGTGGTTTCCCATCCAAGCACTAACCAGGGCTGACCCTGCTTAGCTTCTGACTCCTTCCCATGCCAGCATTATTCATGTTTCCCAGAAGGCTAAACTATAGTGGTGAGAAGGCCTAGCATGGCCTCCTCTCCTCCTTATGTTAGCCCAGTTCCAGGAATAGGGCCCCAACCATGCCAGAGTAACATGAAAACCCAGCCTTACTAAGCATCAATTGTGGCCTATGCACTAAGTTCTAATGAATGATCTCTTAGCACACCGACTGAGAGGCAACATCAACAGTGGTCTTTTCATTTATTTGTTTGTATGTTTGTTTTGTATCCCGCCCTCCCTGCCAAGGCATGCTCAGGGCGGCTTACAGGATAAATAAATAAATATTAAAACAGCGAGATCTGTTAAAACAGAAAGTTTAAAATCAAACCACAACATATAATCATTAATACTAATAAACACAGACGTTAATAGCCAATGGTGGTGTCCTCTCAACATCCCGAATGTCACTACCTGCCAGGCTGCTGGTTATTAAATTGGTGCTGACGTTGGGGCCAGGGCTGCAGTATTGGGAGGTGGCACCAAAATCGAAAGCCTGGTGGAAGAGCTCCATTTTACAGGCCCCGCGGAACTGTAGAAGGTCCCACAGGGCCCTGATGTCATCCGGGAGCTCATTCCACCAATTAGGGGCTGCCACAGAAAAGGCCCTGGCCCTCGTCACAGCTAGCCTGGCTTCTTTAGGGCCTGGGAGGGCTAGACGGTTTTGGGACCCCAATCTTAGTGCTCTCTGGGGAACATCTGGGAAAAGGTGATCCCTTAGGTAAATCTGCTAAAGAATGCAGACTTAACAGTGCAATCCTAAACAGAAGTCAATGGGGTAACTCTGCTTCAGAACACACTGCCACTGACCAGACCTCTGGCTCGGAAGCCTTCTAGCGAGGGTACCTTTTTGTCCTCGATTTCTTCTTTCAGTTCCGTAATTCTGCTGGTATTCCTTGCAAACTTGTTGATTTTCTGTTGATCTTCAAACGTAACGTTGACATCTTCCGCCGCCTGAGCAAGAGAAACGGCAAAAGTTCAGCACGTTGATATTTCCAGCCACCATCTTTCCAAGAAAGTCACAGCTGAGTACCTGATCCACTCGCCCCATTTTAGAAGTGAAGGCTAGAGGGAGACCCACTTGCCGTCTTCGGTTATTTGACGAGCTGTCATATAGAACATAGAACAGACTCGACCTAGGGCTGGACTAGAACCAGTGGATGGAAATCACAAGGAAGGGCATTTTGGTTAAATATTGAGAAACGTCTTAATGGTAAGAGCTGTTCAACAGTGGAACAGACTGCCTCAGGAGCTGGTAAACTCTCCTTAATTTAAACAGAGGGCAGATGGCCATCAGTCAAGGATACTGAAGCTGCATATTCCTGCACTGAGGCAGTGGTTGGACTAGATGACCTTCAACGTCCTTTCCAACACTCCATGACTATTTGCACAACAACCCTGTGATGCAGGTTAGGCCCAAGGTCATCCAGTAAGCTTACATGGCAGTGTGGGGATTTGAACCTGGGTCTCCCTGGTTGTTCCAGCACTCTAGTCCCACACCCTCAGAAGACAGATTGCCTGAAAACTGCTATTAGCTTTCTCTGTTGAATTAGAGTAAACGGGGCTCACCATTAAATGCAATCTTCAGAGTAACTGGTCAGCATTTCAACATTTCACCAGCATAATTGTCCAAAATACCCCCAACCAACAAGTTAGCATAAAGTCAGTATGAACAGGGTCATAGCCAGAAGTAGTGCAACCCAGGAGCATGAAGACAGCCTCAGGAAAACTCCCCAGGGCTATTGCATAAACAAAGAGTAACCCTAGGATACACCTGAGATCACAATGGTACCAAGAGATAGTGCATGTACTAGGGCCCACCTACCAGCCCTTGAATAAACAGGTAATATTAAGACGAAGAAGAAGAGACTAGATTTATACCCCACCCTTCTGCACCCGAAGGAGTCTCAGAGCGGCTTATAATCCCTTTCCCTTCCCCTCCCCACAACAGACACCCTGTGAGGTAGGTGAGGCTCAGAGAGCTCTGAGAGAACTGCTCTTGAGAGAACTTATGACTGACCCAAGGTCACACCAGCAGCTGCATGTGGAAGAGAACTCGGCTGTCCCAGATTAGAGTCTGTGCCCTTAACCACTACACCAAACTGCCATAAAACCAACATTTATAGCTCTGACTACCTGAAATAAGACAAAAGATGTTGGAGAAGGATGCACTTGTTCAACTCAACTGGAAGAGTCTGTGTCAAGTTCAAGTTTTGGACTAAAATCTGGGAGAACCAAGTTCGAATCCCCACTCTGCTGTGGAAGCTTGCTGGGTGACCTTGGGCCAGTCATGCCCTCTCAGCTTGACCTACCTCACAGGGGTGTTGTTATGAAGGTAAAGTAGAGAAGGGAACAATGGTACTGTAAGCCACTATGGGTCCTCCATTGTGGAAAAAAGCAAGAAACCCATAAACAAATGCATAGACCCTGGCAGGAAAAATTGGTTTCTTCCTTCCTGAACTTTCATTAGTTCCATACTCTCAGTCCCTGTTGCTGCTTCACACCTTTTCGAAGTCTCAAAAATCATAAAAGCTGACAGCTCAGCTTAAAAAAAAACAATTTAGCATAGAGATTGTCTTACATTTTAATCTCTGAGTGGTGTACAAACAGGACAGTATTGGTGGCAGATTCATTAACCCCATAAATTCCTATGTATCCCACAAATACCAACATGCATAACTTTCCCTCATAAGGAATCCCTCAAAAACACCAACAAAGTTGGGCAAATCCTGTGGAATAAGTTTGAAGAAGAAGAAAAGGTATAGATGGGATCTTTGAAGTGTACCAGCCACGTGATCCAGTTGCAATAACAGCAAAAGTAATATGAGCCCTCCAATTCTGTATCTTGAGTTTTTACTGCATGTATCTTTTAAAAAAATTATTGTAGTCTGCCTTTGAGTCTCTGCAAAGAAAGGCAGGCTATAAAATAAGTAAAATATGCCCCCATTCAGATTCACTGGAGAAAATAAATCCCACTGTTCTGTCACACCTACAACTACTGATGCACTCCTACTAGCAGCTCCAAAAAGCCCACTTTATGAAAAAAAATATTGACATTAAGGTTATAATCCCTAGTAATTATGCATCATATTGCAGCTGCACCATACAATCCTATGCACATTTCACTGAGTTCAATTAGGTGCCTTAGTACATAATGTCAAGTCCAATCATACAGATATTCGTTCAGAAGCAAGTATCTACCAAAAGGAAGACTAGGTCCCCCCCCCCCCCC